AAGACTAGAATATTGTCATATGACTATATTATACAGTGTGACTTTTAATTAGAGTCAGATGTTAAGACTCAGTCTTAACCTTGCTACTAAGTACCTATATGACCTTAATCAAATCTTAAACCTTTCTGGGTATGTTCGTTCTTTAAAATGGAAATAAAACCAACTTTGCAGAATTGTAGTAAAAAAAATACATGTGAAAGTTACTGGTATTAACACCTGTTCTCTAATAGAGCCCCAGCAAATCTCTTATCTCCTTCCTTCCCTTTAGAAAATATTTAACTTTCACAATGTAATTATTAATTTCTAGATTATGCGTGACAATCCAAGAAGCTAGCCAATTAAGAGCGGAAAATACACATCTGGAAAAACTAACCAAAGACCTAAAAGCAAAGTGCAATGAATTAGAAATTGAGAAATACGAGGCTATTTTAAGAGCCAGAGATAGTATGCAACTCTTAGAAGAAGCTAATCTTCAAAAATATCAGGTAAGAAAACTGATAAACATATTTATAAATAGTAAAATATTGAACATTTCCCCATGTAACCTAATAGTAAAGGCATCAATAGCTCCAGAATAAATGCATGAAAATAAAATTTCTGTGCACTCCATTAAATAGACATGTTATATCTTGAATGGTAAGACTTAGTATCATAAAATGTGATAAAATGTCCATCCTCTTCCAAAGCTAATATTTTAATATCAAGCTTTCCTTATGTTCCTAACCCCTGTGTAACTAATCATTAGACCTGATAGTCTCCTACTTCTTAAAACTCTGTCACAGAACTTTACCACTGTGCACCCTTTCAGTCAGCTGAATCAGGTGAATATTACACAGCCTTATTTCTTCATCACCTACACAATATTACTAATAAAGCAGACTCTTAGATGACAGAGTAAAATTTAGCTGTAAAGATTTATTGACTGAGACTTCCAGATCACGGCAGACCAAAGGCAGCAGCACTCACTAGTTGCTCTGGAATGTTCATCCTAATCAACCAGGGTGTTCTGCATGAGGAGAGAGGGGCACTGAAGGAAATCGCTGGAATACAACTGGCCTGATTTCTCTGGCTAAAGTTTCAAAACTATTGAACAAGAATGACAGTGACATGCTTGTCTTGTTCTAGACTTTCGAGTGAATTCTGTCAGTTTTTCCCCTTTCCATATTTTATGGGCTATTCATACTGGCTTTTATCATTTTGTGGTAAGTTCCCTCTGTATCTGTAGGATTTTTATCATGAATGGGTGTTAGATTTTGTCAAAGGTTTTTTTGCATCTGTTAAGATGACTTTTATCTGTAATTCTATTTAGTGGTATATTATTATATTTATTAAGTTGCATGTATTGAACTACCCTTGCCTTTCTTGGATGTAACTAACTTGATCATGATACATGATCGTTTTAATGTTATATTGATTTCTGTTAGTGATGATCTTATTGAGGATTTTGTTTTGTTTTGTTTTGTTTTGTTTTGTTTTTGGTACTGCGGATCGAAATTGGGTCCTTGAGCTTGTGAGGCAGGCAGCAGCACCACTGAGCTAAATCCGCAGCCCTTATTGAGGATTTTTACATCTGTGTTTATCAAGGATATCAGTCTGAAGTTTTCCCCTTTTTTATTGAGTCCTCACATAGTTTTTATATCAGTTTAATACTGGTTTTATAGAAGGAATTTTGGAGGATACCATCTCTTTCTATTGTTTGGAATATTTTGAGGAGCATTCATGTTAGTTTTCCAAAAGTGTGGTAGGTATATCTGTATCAGCTCTAAATACATCTGGTCCCAGACTTTTTGTAGTTGACAGAGTTTTGATTACTGCCATAGTATCATCACTTATTCTTTTTTAAATTTGTTTTTGAGTTTTTTTGTTTGTTTGTTTGTTTTGGTACCGGGGATTGAACTCGGGTCCTTGCGCTTGCAAGGCAGGCCACCGAACCGCTGAGCTAAATCCCCGGCCCACATCACTTATTCTTGATCTGTTTGGATTTCGTGTATCATCTTGAAGCAACTTAGGTTTGTGTCTAGAAGATTACCCATTTTTTCAGATTCTCCAGTTTGTTGACAGACATTTTGAAAATACTTTCTGATCCTCTGGGTTTCAGTGATACCTGTTGTAATTTTGGCTTTTTCATTTCTGATCTTATTTATTTGGGCCTTCACTTTCTTTTGGTAAATTTGGCTGAAGATTTATCAATCGTTTTTATGTTTTGAAAGAACTACCCCTTCAATGCACTAAGCTTTTTTATTGTACTTCAAGTTTCAATTTTATTAATTTCCACTCCTCCTATCCCTGCTCATTTTGGGTTTGCTTTTGCTTTTCTAGGACCTTGAGTTACATCATTAGGTTATTTGTTTGGGCTTGTGCTGTGATTTTAATAAAAGCAGCTGTAAACTTTCCTCTTACACCTTTTATCGTATCCCACCAATTCTGTTACATAGTGTTTCTACTACGTAATCCAATTATTTTAGCTATTAGTTTTAAAATTCTTTGAAATTTCATCCATGTCAGTGTCTATGGGACCAAATTTGGAGTTCTGTACTTTTTTTTTTTTGGTACCGGCGATTGAACTCGGGTCCTTGCTCTTGCAAGGCAGGCCACCGAACCGCTGAGCTAAATCTCCGGCCCCTGAGTTCTGTACTTTCGGAGCCATTTTGTTTTCTTATTTTATTTGTGCTGTGTACTGAAGTTTGTATGACACTTGCATAAAATGTCTTTTTCACTGTTGTATGAGGGTCTCTTCTGTAGGAGAATTTCTCTTTGAGTATAGTTTGGTGACTGTGTATCTATGTAAGAGTTTCCACTCAGTCTGCACTGGATGTTAGCTTTATCCCCTGCCACTGCTTTGATAAGACAGAATAACTAGACCCAGTAATATCAACAGTTGAGAAGCTAACCATAGACTTTTAGATACCTAACTAGTACAAAACATAACAAGTAATGTGGTATACTTGCTTAAACCAAATTCAGCATTGATGATATTTGAAGTGTTTCAAATAGTCAAAAAGTAGATAAGAGGTAGAGATAGCAGGGGGAAAAATACAGAATAAAAAATAATAATACTAAAGGGGGAAGAGAAAGGGAGAGTAGAGAGAGAGAAGCAGGTATATAGAGACAAGTAATGAGAATAAGGAAGGGAATATAAAAGAGATGAGAGAAAAGGGCCCTTTTATTTTATTGGTATAGTTAAGGTATATAATATAACGACATTCATCATTGGAAATTTGCACCTTTGTATGATCCATATTGCTTCTTATTTTTCCCCATTCCTCCTCCCTATCTACAAAGACTTTGTTTCCATTTTTTCATATTAATTCCGTTCCTTTTTTTCCTTTTCCCTACCCCTCCAATTTCCCCTTCCCCTTTGCCCCTTTTCTTCCTATTACAAATTGTCTATTATACCTTTTAGTCCTTATTTACACTTTCAGTTTCTCACACTAGAGAAACTATTCAGTATTTACACGCATGTCCTATTTTTTTCAGTTATGAGTATCACCTCAATGTGTATCCATTTAGCTATAAATGTCTAATTTCTCATTTTTATGGCTGAGTAGTACTCCACTTTATAAAAGAACCACATTTTCTTTATCCATTCTCCCATGGATGGGCAGGTGGGCTGCTTCCAAGTTTTAGCTATTACAAATTGGGCTGCTATGAACACGGGTGCACATATATCACTGTGATTCTTTTAATTCTTTTAGGAAGATACCCAGCAGCGGGATAGCTGGGTCAAATGGGACTACCAATCCTACTTTTTTGAGATATCTCCATACTGCTTTCCACAGTGGTTGCACCAGACTACACTCCCACCAACAATGGAGAAGGGTTCCTCTTTCCCTACAACCCCACCATCATTTGTCATTGGTTGATTTCATGACAGCAGCCATTCTTTGTTGCGCGAGGTGGAATCTCAGCATTGTTTGTGTTCACATCTCTCAAATGACCAGTGATGTTGAACATTTTTTCATGTTTATTTGCTGTTTCTACTTCTTTGGGAAAGGTCTGCTCATTTCAGATGCCCATTTTTGGATTGGGTCTTTAAATTTAGGCTGTCTGATTTTTTTTAAGTTCCTTATGTATTCTAGATGGTAGACCTTTGTCTGAAAAAAGTAGAGGTCATCTTTTCTGATGGCAAATCGGGCCCTTACAGGCTAAGGGAGGAAGCTACCTCACACATGGAGGTGGGGGTGCTCGGGGACTGTAGTCTGGAGTAGACCAACCAACCCAGCTTCCACACGCTCCTGCTGGTGAGATCCAGACTTTGGCCACCGTGTCTGAATGGGCACTGAGAACAGGGCCCGCCACCCCAGCTACACTGGGCAAGGGTGAGGGCGAGGCTGGTCCCCACACCACCATCACAGCCCTCCCAGCCTATCCTGAGGGGACCGTGTGAGCGTGAGCACAGGCACAATGCTATGGAATGCAGGAGACCCAAAGACAGGTGGGCCACAGGGTCTCTACTTTGACTACGCAGCAGATGGAATTCATCACATCTCTTGCATTCCTAGCGGAACAGCCGATCTTATGACTAGTGTTCAGGTCGAACTGCAAAACCTACACTCAGCATAGTCTCCTGTGTGTTCAAGTGTTCCCCTCATCTTGTAATTTTTTACTATTTTTAAAAATGCACTGAGTTTGGGTTAAAAAGCAAAAGGATCCTTATTCCAGTCTTACAGCCCAGTGGCTCCTGCAGGCGAAGAGCCCGTGCACCCAAATCCCTGCTCAGTACTGACAGTGAGTTGATTCTTTTTTTGTTTTTAAACAATAAAAAAGCTGAGTAATATTGCATAGGAGTACCAGAAACTGCCTCAGTGGAAACAGAAACATTTACATTAAATAAAAACCTGGATGAAGGCTGTGCCTACACATGTACAGCAGAGTGCAAGCACACTGTGACCAGCCCATGGAGACAGCTTCTGGCACTCAGGAGCACGGAGTCACACATTTGCCACATAAGAGGAAAGCAGGAGACGGAGAGGAGGAAGTGAGGGGAAGGGGGATTCTAGTCACTTCTGATTCCAGAGCTGATTAGACAGCCAGTCCAGTCCTTCGTAGAGCCCATCCCCACTGGTGGCACAGGCTGTCTTAGTATACCAGTTCCTGTGGTGTAGAAAGTGCAGCCCCAGCTTGTCTGTGATTTCAGCTGCATTCATCGCATTGGGGAGGTCCTGCTTGTTGGCACACTCAAGGAGGATGGCATCCTGGAGCTTGTCCTTGGCCAGCATCCTCATGAGCTTTGCACGAGCCTCATTCACACACTCTCTGTCATTGCTATCTGCCACAAAGATCCAGCCTTGGGTGTTCTGGAAGTAGTGGCTCCACAGTGGCCGGATCTTGTCCTGGCTACCCACAACCCACACGGTAAAGCTGATGCTCTTGTGTTTGACAGTCTCAACACTGAAACCTATAGTAGGAATGGTGGTCACAATTTCACCAAGCTTCAGTTTATACAGAATCATCGTCTTCCTGGCAGCATCCAGGCCCACCATGAGAATTTGAATTTCTTTTTTGCCAATGAGGCCCTTGAAGAGGTTCACGAAGATATTCCCTATCCTTATGGATTCCTGGCAGTGACACTGGCCAGAGACCTCAGCAGTGGCTGCTCTGAGCCAGGCATTGGTTTCGCTCCCACAAGATGGCAGCACTGATGAGGGTCCTTTTCTTATCCAGTTGTTAATCAAACAAATTTAGATACTCCTAATGAGCAACTTTTGGTGTGGGAATATATGATAAAACAAGGTAGGGTGTTGTGGAGTTAAAGCAGAAAACCACAGATATAATTCACAGATATACCCATATATACATGTATAAAAAGATTGGCTTTTGTCATACAAAAAATTACTGATAAAGAGGCAACAGGCAAAACAAAAGAAAAGGAGGAAGGGTAGCAATTGGCTTGTTTTATTGATTGTGCTGTGTTCCTGCACAGTTTTTTGTTTTTTTGGGTTTTTTGTTTGTTTGTTTTTAGTTTTGGTTTTGGTTTTTTTTGCTGCCACTGTCTTTAGCCCATGGTGTTTGGGGTCTAACATTCTCAGTGGCCAGACATTTATTTACTCTGCTCCCTCCAGGAAGTCTCAGCCCAGGGTTCTCACCCAGCCACACGTTGTAGGATGCTCCACTTTGTCCTCTCTCCATCCCTAGAAATCCCTTATCTCAGCTTCCTCAAACCCTGTGATTTCAGTGGCATTCCAGGTTAGGAATGCTTTTTTTCAGAAAGGGTGTTTCTCTCCACTTCTTATCCCTGCATGTCCCAGTTGCCCCAAATCTCTGAGTTCTTCTTTGGTGCTTGTCTCTTCTACCCAAGAAAAAACCCCAGCCAAGATCATCCAATGTGTCTTTCATCTCTTACAGCTCTGACTCAGTCCTTAGAATGGCTTGGTTTCTGGACTTGCCCTGGGAACAGAGCCCAAGGATGGAAAAGAATTTTCCTGTTATTATCACGTACTCTGTGTCATGTCTCAGAGTGAGAAGTGCATGGCTGGGCCAGCTCCGCAAGCAACAGCATGTTAGTTGAGTGCAGCTACAGCCATTGCCATACCCAACCCCAGAATCTTTCCCTAAAAGCTTGGTGCAGTTTATAGAATGGCACTGACCCTACACCTTGACATGTGCTGGGAGCAGCACCTAGGTTGAGAAGGAGCTTCACTTCTTATCCTTGCTTTTCCGTTTTTTTGCATTTCAACTCTTTGCTATTCTATTCAAGTTGTATTCCAGTGCGTGGTGCCTCTACCATGTACTTGTGCACTGACCTTGGTAAGTATCTCAGAGTTCTCTGTGAGTGCTGCTTCCTCTGCACTACCATGATATTCCTCAAAACAGTTTTAAACCCCAGAGAAGAGAATGTGCTTGGTCATTGGGAGATGAGATGGTCAGGTCAACCCACAGGACCCCTTACTGTGTGCAGAAAAGAAGACATTCAGTCTGGCCTAATTACAGGAGTTCCTAACTCAGATGTTTTGATTAGAGATGTAAAGTTGAAAATTGTCAGCATTGAAGTGATATTTAAAATCAGAATATTTGGTTAGATCACCCAGGGATGGATATAGATAGGTAGAGAAGAAAACCGAGAACTGAGTCTTGAGTGGTCCACTCTTAAAAACACATCAAAGAGACAAAATCCATGCATCTTCAGTGGTCAAGGTATGAGGTAAAGAGGAACGTAATTTGAATGGTATCAATATCAAGTAGTGTATTTATAAAAGCGAAGCAGACTTTTCCAAGAATACCAGACCTAGATAAGATGAGTTACTTTGTATAGGGGCTTGAAAAAGAAGGGAAATTAAAAACAGTTCTTAAGTCTGTAGAGATTAGAAGATTGATGGCAATGCTCACTGAAATAAATGCCAAAGAAAACTAACTTTTTTAAAAACTCTGGGCATTGTATATTGATGCATGTCTATAATCAACTATTCAGGGGTCTGAGGCAAGAGGAACCCAAGTTTGAGCCCAGCCCAGTTAATTTAGCAAGACTGATTTCAAAATTCTGGGCCAATTTAGTTCAGTGCTAAAATTCTTGACTAATGTGCAAGAGGCCCTGGGTTTAATCTCCAGTATAAGAAAAAGAAAGGAATTAGGACAATGGTAGGTGTGGGTAAGAAAAATAAATATCTTTCATGACAGAGGCAAGTTCAGTTAGAGATATCCCAGAAATTTGGAGTGATAAGTTAACTCTTAAAAAAAGTGATTACTGGCTAGCTTTTTTGATATGTTATCTTAATGATGATGTCACCTATAACATGAAACGATTATTTTCTGAAGGTTCTACTTGAAAAGAAGCAAAGAGAAGAAGATAAAGAGAAAATGAAAGAAGTATTTTCTCAGCTCATACAAGATTCTGGTATTAGAACCAGGAAAGAGGTAAAGGGTTTTAAATTTTTTTTTAATTCAAGGGCTGGGGATTTAGCTCAGTGGTTCTGGCGCCTGCCTCACAAGTGCAAGGGCCAAAGTTCAATCCCCAGTACCAAAAACAAAACAAAAATTTTAAATTCAAGTTTTAAGTTCCAACTAAAGACTGAATAATATCTAAATACTTTTAAAGCACTTGTGTGCATTTTATGACTATATTAAATCATTAACATGAATCACGTTATGATATACCAGTTAATAACTAGAATAATGAGAGACCTTTACATTTTATATTTCTGCAGTATGTGAAATTTCAGAGTATTTTATAAACCAACAAAATATATACATAATATAATTTATATATGATGAAAAATTTTTCACATATTTCTATCCAGGATATAAAATATAAAAATGCTTCTGTTTTTAGTATGAAAATGCTTATATCTCAGTTCTCAAACAAATCCAATTAAAAAAAAAATAAAACATTGTTTACTTTTAAGTTTGAATCATGACTTGCACCATCGTTGGCCTTTGCTATTTCTGTTTCTCATTAATGTACATTACAGTTTACTCAGTCAATGTCCTTACTAATAAAACTACAGAAGGAAATGTTTACATAAATAAAATGAGGTTATTGTGAGAGAGGAATATTAGTCTCTGCATGGCCTTTAGAACCTCAACACAGTGAACTACCTTATAGTCATATGTATTTGTTCCATGCAACAGTGTTTTATATTTTTTCATCAGATACTAACCCTAGAAAATTTCCTATGGAGTACGGTTCACAGATGATGCACTATCAACTTCAAGAGTTCGCCTTTCACAGAGTATCAATAGTTTCATTCAGCTGAATTTGCTATCATTAATATAAAATATTTCAAAATATGCACTGTATTGTTGTCATAAACCCTCAACTTAGCTCTCTCAGTTTTAAACAAAGAAATGAACACATTTTAGAAATTATGTGACAGGCATAACTATGTTTATAAGAATCAAAATTTTTATATTATGGGAATATTTATGTTTTACCTTCTCTCTGCCTCAGTGTTAGCTTTCCATTGCTATAATGGATGCCTGGGATAATCAGTTTATGAAGACAGCAAGCTTACTTTGGATCATGGTTCAGTCGTCAGTGCATGATTGGGTGGCCCCATTGCTTCTAGGCCTGCAGTGAGGCAGCACATCATGGCAGAAGCATATGTTGGAACAGAATCACTTAGCTCATGGCTAGAAAGTGAATGAGAGGAAGAGGAAGTGGCTCGGATTCCACTCTCCTCTTCAAGGCCATGCACCCAAGAACCTGAAGACCTCCCACTAGACTCCACTTCTTAAAGGTTCTGCCACCTCCTAATAACGCTTTTCTGGGAAACAAGCCATTCACATAAAGCGTTACGGAGGACATTTTAGATCTAACGTATAACACACAGGCTTGCTCATCTGTAGTGGAGATGATAACTACCTCACGGGCTCGTTATAAGAGTGAGGGACATAATAACGTATAACATGAGGCATTCTGAACAGTTCCTAATACATAATGCTCATTATGTACTAAGCTGTATTATCACTGACAGAAGAGACTGACTGATCCTTAATATCTTAATCTTTAATTTGTAGGAAAATTCAACATCAAATTATATAACTTTAAATAGAACCATATATAATGTTTGATAGACCTTCCAAAAAGATGACTCACTAATTAAGCAAATAAAGTATGTAACAGTGTTGTAATTGTTCCAAAGAAAATTTCTATTATGTTTTTAAATAATTTATAATTTTATACGATAACTATAAAAATTTCCAAGATTTTTTGGATCATAGGCATTTACTGATGATATGCCATCAGCATCAGTATTATTCACACTCCTCTTTTAAAACATGACTAGCAATTAGGGAAAATTATTGTCTTTGGAGCCATCCTGCGACGTGACCATTCTTCAGAATACTCTGAATTTTCAGAATACACCCAAATTGCACTGGTTCTGAAGATAGTTCAATGTCAACTCAAATAAAGATGACCTAAAATGTAATTTATTTAATCCTAGAATGTGATGTGCTTTACAACAATGACTTTATATTTGTAAAATAAAGGTGCCTTTAAAGTTTTAATTACATTTTCAGTGGGTGAATTTGCTTTCCTATCCCCCTCCAGCATGGGGGATGACACCCAGGCCTCCTCTCATGCTAGGCAAGAGCTGTAACACTGAGCTATATCCTCAGTTCCTCCACTTTTCTCTTGCTTGGCTCCATGGCAACAGTTTTCAAAGTGTTGTTCAGGGATTCTGCAAGACCATACCTACTTTCATAATTATGTAATACTCAACGTTTTTCACTCTCACTCTCTCGTGAGTGTGCAGTGTTGTTTTCTTAAAGTTGTGTAATTGGGCTGGGGAGTCAGCTCAATAGTGCTGTGCCTGCCTGGCAAGTGCGAGGTCCTGAGTTCAATTCCCGGTACAGGGAAAAAAAATTGGAACCAAAAATTGCATAATATACAGAAACACAACAGGTTGAATACAGAAGCAGGTATGAGAAACTAGCTTTCTTCTATTCAGCTAGACATTAAGGAGATTTACAAAAATATAAAATAATGCCAATTTTCTCAAAAATCTTTAGTTTTGGAGAATATACTTACTTTCCTAAAATGTATTTTATACTAACAGCTAATTATTTTAATCAGTGTTTTAAGGGAATTCATAATTAAATTTTATGTTTTTATTTCTAATAATGATAAAATATTGCTAGAAAAACACGTTACATTGGAAGTATCATCCTTTTCTCTCTCTAGTCTTGACAAATTCTTGGTTACTGCGTACCTTGTGTGCTTATTTATCTTTTATGACCTATAAGTTACAACTTTATTCAAACTATTATATAAAATTATTATGTGACTGTTATTCTAAATTTTTATCAATGTTTTATAAAATTATACTAAATTTTTATCAGATATTAATCATTATTTATTACCTAAATAATTTATAATGTCTTCTTTTACAGGTTGAAAACATCAAAAAGCAGTTTCAAGTACAGATTGCTCAATTAACTGAAGAACTTTCAGCTCTTCAAATGGTATGTTAGAAGCCTATGTTGAAGCCTGGGGATGTAGCTTAGTGGTAGAGTACTTGCCTAGTATGCACAAGGCCCTGGGTTCAATCACAAGCACCATAAGTAAGAAAAAAAGGGAGGGAGGGAGAAAGAAGAAGACTATATGAATATTTTCTTCTAAATATTGCTTTTTTTTTTTCAGCTTTAATTGAGTTTATTGGTACATTTTAGGGATACAGCACAGTTACATTCATTGTTGGGATCTTGTACCTCTACATGACAAGTCTTGGTTCTCATTTTTTCCCCTTGTCTCTGCCCTCCCTTCACCCCCTCCTCCCCTCCCGATCTACAAACACTTTATTTTCATCTTTTCATTATCTCGCATTTTTTTTCTTTTCCCTTTTTAAACCTTCCCCTGCCCATCCCACCTTCCCTACACCTTTAGCTCCTTTCTTCCCATTTCTAAATGTCAGTAATCTTATTAGGATCTTATGTATTATTGCAGATTATTCACACCAGGGAAACTATTCGGTATTTACACGTGTGCCTTATTTATTTCACTTAGGAGTATATCTTCAGTATGTATCCATTTTCCTAAAATATTGCTTATTTTAAAGGAAAAGAAATATGCTATTGGGCATTTGTTTATTCAAAATATACTGATTAAGTTATGAGCTATGCTAGGTGCCAGGAAAAACATGAAAACACAGATAGACGTGTTTTTTGCAGTCTAGTCCTATATGGTCTACCAGGAAAGATAGCATCCATGACATTTTATGTAATTACTTCTCTTTGACACAGAACGCACAGAATGCCATTATGACACCCAGTTGTAGCTCCTACCACCCGCTTGAGTTTAGACCAGGGAGAGAGAGAGAGAAAGCGAGAGAGCCACCACCCTGTGGGTTCAGATTGTGG